GGATATACACCCTAAAAAAGGGTGGGAAGTAGGCCTGCTGACCTGGAAGATTCTTAGAAACACCGTTTCGTCTAACTGGGATTTTCCCCACTCATCTTCCAGGACAGCAACCTGAGATAATAAGCAAGTAAACCAACAGGCCTACCTTAGGGCAGGACAACAGTATGCAGAACCTTACTGACAAAGGTTAGATCAGGACAGGCTGCGACATGACCTCCACTCCACTGTAGTGTTTCACAAAAGCGTCCTGACTTGACCACACCGCAGCTCTGCAGATCTGCTCCACCGAAGTGTCCGCTCTCTCTGCCCATGAAGTTGCCAAAGATTGGGTGGAATGTACCTTAATGGATTTAGAGACTTCTAATCCTTCCTTTTTATACACAAATACAATAGTCTGTCTAATCCGCCTAGCAACTGTGGAGTGGGAGGCTAGATAGCCCTTTTTTGGACCTCCAAATAAGACAAAAAATTGACTGGTCTTTAAAATTCTTGGAAACTTCTAGGTACCTAATAAGACATCTTCTGACATCTAAAGTATGAAAGACCACTTCCCCTGATTTTTAGGTTTCTCGCAGAAAGAAGGTAAAGTCATTTCTTGTGATCCATGGAAAACTGAAGCAACTTTAGGTAGATACAAAGGATCTGGTCTTAAGATTACCCTATCTGGCAGGATAGAAAGATAGAGATCTTCGATAGATAAGGCCTATGTTCACAGGCAGGCCTATGCTGGGGGACCTCAGGTGTATGTACTCTAAATAAAGGGCACAGAGAACCCGGATTAAATATAGGAGAACCCTCTGACCACCAGGCAAGGCTGAAGGCAGCAGAAAAAAACAGCAGCATAGCCCTCTAGAGAGGGGGGGCAGTTGTGTCAACCACTGACCTCAAGGCCATCTGGACCAGAAAAGACTGAAAAACTTCTCTAAAATTGTGTTTCCTGTAGAGGGGAGAGTCAATCATCTCTTAGGCTGCTGTCCTGGAAGATGATTGGGGAAAAATATATTTTTTAGATTTGTGATGAAAGTGAGAGAGCTCCATTTTAAAGTGGACCTTTCAAAGAAAAGCAAGGTGAGCTCATTCAACATTGAACCACTGCCATGTGAAATCACAATTCCCCTTTGGAGAAAAAAACTATGGAAAAGTGAAAAGCACACACACAAATATTGGCACCCCTGCATCTCTGTCAGATAATGTACCGATTGTTGCAATTACAAATGTTTAGGCATTCTCATGTTTATTTATTTTGTTTGTATTGGTATGACACACAAAAAAAGCATTCAACGCAAAACTTCAAAAATGGACTGGACAAAATTTTTGGCACCCAAAATTAATATTTGGTAGCACAGCCCTTGGAAAAAAATAACTGAAATCAATCGCTTCCTGTAACCATCAATTCGTTTCTTACACCTCTCTATAGGAATTTTGGACCACTCTTCTTTCGCCAACTGCTCTAGGTCTCTCAGATTGGAAGTGTTCCAATTACCAACTGCTGTTTTGAGATCTCTCCACAGGCGCTCTATTTGATTCAGATCTGTACTCATTGCTGGCCAGTCCAGTACCCCCTCCAGCGCTTTGTCCGAAACCATTTCTGGGTGGTTATTGACTTGTGCTTTGGGTCATTGTCCCGTTGTAAAACCCATGACCTCTGACTGAGACCCAACTTTCTCTGACAGCGTGTCCTACATTGCACCCCAAAATTCTTTGGTAGTCCTCAGATTTCATAATGCCATGCACTCAGTCAAGACATCCAGTGCCTGAAGCAGCAAAGCAACCCCAAAACATCAGTGAACCTCCATGTTTGACTGTAAATTTCCTTTTTTTTTTTTTTTAAAGGCCTCATTTCTTTTTCTGAAAACAGTAGAATGATTGGCTTTATCAAAAAGCTGTAATTGTGTTTTGTCTGTCCACAGCACATTCTCCCAAAAGGATTTTGGCTTTTTTCTGTGTCAGCAGTGGGGTCCTCCTGGGTCTCCTACCATAGCGTCTCTTTTCATTCAGATGGCGACGTATAGTGCGAGGTGACACAGTTGTACCCTGTGCCTGATGGTCAGCTTAAATTTGCCTGGCAGTTGATCGAGGGTCTTTATCCACCATTCCAACAATCCTTTGTTGCAATCTTTGATCAATTGTTCTCTTTCATCCACATCCAGGGAGATTAACTACAGTGCCGTGGGCTGTAAACTTCTTGATAATTTTGCGCACAGTGGACACAGGAATATTAAGATCTCTGGAGATGGACTTTTAACCTCGAGATAGACCATGCTTTTCCACAATTTTTGTTCTCAAATCCTCAGACAATTCATTGCTGCTCTTCTCTTCTCCATGCTCCATGTGGCACACAGAGACACACAACAGAAAGGTTTAGTCAATTTTTTACCATTTTAACTGGTTGTCGGTGTGATTTCTATATTGTCAACATCTGTTAATTGATACAAGTGAGTTTAATTACAAATTACAAGAGCATCATAAACCTGGAATGCAATTATTTCATTTTGGAGTTTTGCATAGAATGTGTCAGATTTGGTTTTTTTTCTCCACTTTTTTGTCATACCAATACAAAACAACAGAAATAATCATGAGAATGCCTAAACATTTGTAATTGCAACAAGTGGCGCATTATCTGACAGAAATGAAGGGGTGTCAGTATTTTTGGCCATGACTTATTATATTTTTATATACACATACACACACACACACACACACACACCTTACCCCAGTGAGGCCATGATCTTCCAGTGAGATCCTGCTAACGCTAACAGGGTTATTCACAAAAGGGTGAAGAGTTTGGAGAAGGGAGGAGAAGTTAACAATCTTGGACAACATAGCTGATTTGGAAAAATTCTCCAATTCAGTTCACTTTTCAAATTCAGCTATGTTGTCCTAGATTGTTCACTTCTCCTGCCTTCTTCAAACTCTTCACCCTTTTGTGAATAGCCCTGTAAGTATCCACACTGGAGGAGCACATTCTCATGAGATTTGAAATACAATTTATTCCCGGTATCTTGCCAGGAGGATGGTGCTTCAACTTCTTCTAATTGTCAAAGCTAGGGTGTAAAGCAAGTATATTTTTAAAATTTTCTCAACAGTTTTTTTTAGAGGGCAAATGCGTCCGTTTTCCATGGGTGCTGGCTAGTTCCACTTTTGAAATTCACTGACCTGTACAATGTGTGCAAATTTGCACTTCTGACAATTTTTTTTTAAATTAACTTGCTGCATGCTTGTTCCACGTCAGTGCAGAGGTCAGTGGTGGACAAACAAATAGTATTTTTTATATGGAGGTTAGCAATGGCAGCCTCCATATTTTTTTTTCTTTTCAGGCCTCCAACATTGGCAGGTCCTGGTGGCCTACGTAGTCCCACTAATGGTTAACCACTGCCCATTTTGCCAAGCTCGAAAATGGAATAAACTTTAACAGCATACATATAAAACACACATGTTCATCAAAAAGACACCATTTAATGACACATTGGTCAGGGGATCTTGTGCAGGAACCACTGATCCAACAGCACAAAATGAAGCTAGAGAGCAGCTTGTAGCAATATTCTCATGTTTTTCTCATCAGAGCACAAAGTTAAAAGCAATAAAAAAAAGTCATTAATTGGGCTTGTCCCATCAGTAATTATTCTTTTCACTGATGATGTTCTCCGTAAAATGTTTATAAACAAGCACTGAAGAGCTGAACTTATTCTAAATTTTTTTAAAAATACACACACATACACACACACATTAAGGTTGAATAAATTAACACAACTGAGAAGAAATCCATGTAACTCAAGAGAGGACTGCACTCTCATCAGATCCATTCTATTCAGTTCACTTTTCAAATTCAGCTATGTTGTCCTAGATTGTTCACTTCTCCTGCCTTCTTCAAACTCTTCACCCTTTTGTGAATAGCCCTGTAAGTATCCACACTGGAGGAGCACATTCTCATGAGATTTGAAATACAATTTATTCCCGGTATCTTGCCAGGAGGATGGTGCTTCAACTTCTTCTAATTGTCAAAGCTAGGGTGTAAAGCAAGTATATTTTTAAAATTTTCTCAACAGTTTTTTTTAGAGGGCAAATGCGTCCGTTTTCCATGGGTGCTGGCTAGTTCCACTTTTGAAATTCACTGACCTGTACAATGTGTGCAAATTTGCACTTCTGACAATTTTTTTTTAAATTAACTTGCTGCATGCTTGTTCCACGTCAGTGCAGAGGTCAGTGGTGGACAAACAAATAGTATTTTTTATATGGAGGTTAGCAATGGCAGCCTCCATATTTTTTTTTCTTTTCAGGCCTCCAACATTGGCAGGTCCTGGTGGCCTACGTAGTCCCACTAATGGTTAACCACTGCCCATTTTGCCAAGCTCGAAAATGGAATAAACTTTAACAGCATACATATAAAACACACATGTTCATCAAAAAGACACCATTTAATGACACATTGGTCAGGGGATCTTGTGCAGGAACCACTGATCCAACAGCACAAAATGAAGCTAGAGAGCAGCTTGTAGCAATATTCTCATGTTTTTCTCATCAGAGCACAAAGTTAAAAGCAATAAAAAAAAGTCATTAATTGGGCTTGTCCCATCAGTAATTATTCTTTTCACTGATGATGTTCTCCGTAAAATGTTTATAAACAAGCACTGAAGAGCTGAACTTATTCTAAATTTTTTTAAAAATACACACACATACACACACACATTAAGGTTGAATAAATTAACACAACTGAGAAGAAATCCATGTAACTCAAGAGAGGACTGCACTCTCATCAGATCCATTCCGGAAACTCCCTGGACATTCTGTCGCAGACCATTGTCACTGACAGCTTTACTAGCCACTCTGCACCTAAAAAATATCAACCACTTAAGTTTTAAGGCAAATTTGGGGGTGTGGGCTCCATGTCCCCCTTCGGTTTCTTGGTGCCTGGTTCCAATTGACTGTGCGCTTTGCGGATGTGCCTGTATAAGTCCCCACTTTGTGTGTAGCTGCGCAAACAGTAACGACATTCATAAGGTCGCTCCCGTGTGTGCACTGTGGCATGCCGGCGAAGTGTATAGGAACAAGAAAATGTTTTGCCGCATGTCTTACAAGTGGGCACATCTTCAGGGAAAAGAGGAAAGCCAGGGTGTCCTTCAAAATCCTGTAAGTACATGGCTTCTGGGTGCATGGAAGTAGGCAGAAGACCTCCATAGTTTGGGTGGTGGCCACCCGGCACTGCAATCATATGATAAGGCAAGTATCCAGATTCCTCCTCTCCTTCTTCCTCCTCTTCATACCCATGTCGTTTAAATGCCCCTACTGCTCGCTCACATTCCTCATCAGATATTACAATGGCTTCTATCTTCACCGATACACCTGGAGCTGGTTGACCCTCACTCACAGTAGAACTACATGGACTAGAAGCAGCTGCTGTCTCCATTCCAGGCTGAGTGGTAGTGGTCACTGTCAATTCAGATTTAGTGCATTCCCTTTCTTCTCTTTTACCAACAGGGGACTCTGGGCTATGCAAAGTATACCTTGATGTACCTGGGAGTGCCAAAGCATTGTTTACCATTTCTGAACTCTGAAGAAAGCATCTTGATGGACCAGGAACAGCTGTGCTGCCTGTTGGCTCCTGAACTTGCAAACTGTATCTGCTCCGTGCTTGAACTCCTTGAATACTGCCTGTTGGCTCTTGTAGGGAGTATCTGGAAGTGCCAGGCTGTGCTACAGTGTTCACTGCTATTTCAGGACTCTGTAGGGAATATCTTTGAGTGCCCTGCACTGCCACAGCACTTCCAGTGGGCTCCTGCAAAGAGAATCGGGAGCTTCCTATCACAGATAAGGTAGTTCCAGCCTCTTCCTGTTGTTGCAAAGAATACCTAGTAGTGGGTAAGGTTTGACTGCTAGTGCCAGTGTTATCCTGCCCTTGGTGGGAATATCTGGGGCCACTATGAGTACTTTGTGTGCTACCTGCAGGCTCCTGCCTCTTTGGTGAGTTTCTTGAAAGCACTGCCTGTCCATTAGAACTTGTATCTTGGCTCTGTGAAGAGAATCTCTGGGCTGGTGATGTAAGTGTACTTTCTACAGCCTCCTGTTGGGGACATCTTATAGCGTCTGCAATTTGTTCACTCCCTGTCCTCTCCTGCACCTCATATCTAGAGCTTCCAGCAGCCTCCTGATTACTAACTGACAGCTGTTGGCCCTGACATTTCACACTGCCAGTAACAGGTTCAATACTCACTGTCCCTTCCTGCAATTCAAATCTAGAGTTGCCTGCTAGGCCTTGGCGGCTTTCACTCATGTTCTGAACTTCAAACCTAGAAACCCCTATTACTCTCTGCAGAATCCCTGATGCTTCGGGTCCCTGATACTTTATACTTCCTGGTAATTTTTGTCCATTTCCTGCTGTCTCCTGTCTCTGATACCTGCTGCTTCCTGCTACTTCCTGCAAGTGATATGTTACACTCCCAGGAATTCTCTGCCCATCCCCTGATAATTGCTGTCCTTCATATTGCATATTTTTTGCAGAATTCTGCCTGCCATCTTGAACCTCATGACTTACATCTCTGCCATCATTGTCTACCCCCAGGCAGCCAGATCCACCTTCTTCTTCTCGGCGAGTACTATCTGCCTCAGCGGGAGCTCGACCCTGCAGCCTTTTTTTGCACACCCTCACAACCTCATCCATGTGCAAGTAGCTAGCTGCTGCAAGAACATCTTCAGTGGGCGCCTCTTGAAAACTGAGTCTACCACAGTACATAAAGCTGAGGAGCAAGGAGAAGGCCGGAGCTGTGACAATCTGGCTGTTCAGTGTAAGCTCTCGTGTGTCTGGTCTCTCTCGACATGACATATGGAAAAAGGGGCTGCATGCAGCAAGAATAGAGCGATGTGCCAGGAAGCGTGCAGTGCCCACAGATATTTGGCAGTCACAAAGGAAACCCTGCGATTGCTGGTCTCTAAGGCTGTGAAGTATACGGCGACTGTGGTCCGGGAAATCCATGGCTGCAACAAAGAAAACATGTGTAAGCATAAGAATGACAAAAATAAACATATGAGCAAATACACTGGACCTCCTGTGTGCAATACACATCTGTGTATCCATACTACTTAGTCAAATGATTTGCTGCAGTTTTTAATCCAACAGAAAAAAAAATTACAACTGGAATCTGATCAGCATCTATGGGCAACACAAACACTTTCCTTTCAAATGCTTATAATGCCAAGCTCACTTCTGTGATGGACTACACTCATGTTTAGCTTACTAATTTGTATTGAGATTGTAGCCCATCATGGGAGCGAGCTTGGAGCGGTGGCTACTTTACCACACACAGGGACCATGGGGAACAAAAGTAGCCACCCTCCAGAAAGAAGGACAGTGTCAGCACCACTTCAGAGATGACACACAAATAAGATAAATTTTTGTTAATAGTTAAAAAGGTACTTGAATGCATTTTTAAGGTTTAACTACTGAGTTTAGTGTCACTTTAATTAAAAAGAGACACTGCCAACTTACACATACAGGGGAAAGTGACAGTATCCCTGAAAATGGCATCTCCCACCTCCCCTTACATCTACTCCCTTCTCCTCTGCAGATAGTGAGCATACTCAGACAATCACTAGGCCTAAGCACTTTCAAGTCTGGGTAAGTGATGTCACCATTCCCCCAGGTTGCCAGCACAGCTTATTTTTAGCGCTGGCTGTGTATGAGCAAGGAACTTCTAGGAAGCCCAGGTAAGGGGAGTATATTGGGTTTGGGGAATGCCCTTTGTTGAAATGCACTCATCCCCATAGTTAGAGCCAACATGTGACACTGCAGCTTTCACATACTAGCTCTATAGATCGAGAACCGAGTCATCAGAAACAGCCAATTGCTCAGTTCATGATCTTCTGCGTGCAGAAAGCGGTGACTGTCGGTCGTCGCTCCCGCAGGGATTCACCTCTCCGTTCCTCCAGTGCTGAGAGGCAGAGCAGGCACTGTAGTGGGGTGGATCTCGACAATATTGTCGGGACCCTTCCCAGCTGTAGCGCGCCTCTGTGCTGCCAGCATATAGCGGGCAATAGCCCTCTATATTCTGAGTTTTGGGTCAATGGAGGACATTAGTCAATGTCCTCTTGTGACCCAAAAGGGAACACCAAAAAACTTTGACTGTAGTTCTCTTTTAAATAATAGGCTTTTCATAGTTTATATAAACATCTTTATTTTACATTACAGGGTGCAACTAAGACACATGACACTATCTGTTCCCATTTTCAATGTCTCTGCCCAGCTGAAACACCATATAGTGTCATGTGAGCATACAGGAGAAGGGGGTTCTATCACTCCACTGACTTATTTAGCTGTGTGCACATTCACACTAAAGCTCCTCCTGATGGCTGCAAATGGTAAATATAAGGTATTCATGTGCAATATTTTAGAATTACCTGTGTAAGTATCTGCAGGGCAAAAACAGACAAGATTCTGCAACTGAAGTGTGGAAAAATCCTTGCAAGTATTCCTACAGGCTTGCACAACATTGTTGTTGCTAAACAAAAGTGGACTGTCAGTCAGTGTTGCATAGTTGATTGAGAGGATGCCCAGTAATCACTGATATTTACAGATTATCATGCAGTTATGTAATTACAGCAGTAAAATCAGGATCTACATAACAAATACATGAAGTACATATTGCTTGTCATTTTTCTTGACTGTAAAGTAAGCCATAACATGGCCTCATACACGTTATGCGTGTTGGAGACGCATGAAGGTGTTTTTAGCACACCTGACCCTCAACATACGACGACGCATAGATCCCAAAAACAGTTGTGCTGTATTGTGGTGCATTGGGGAAAAAGGGGGCAATGTAAAAATTTGGGTCACAGATGAGCACCCATAGGAACTGCACAAGCACAGGTATCACAATGCACGTCAACACATCAAACAATGCATACATGAATGTAAAGAGGTTGAAGCACTAGCTATGGTCTAAAATACCAACCATAAATAAAAACTAACTAGCTGCTATGATCTTCTTAATATCACTGATTTATCAACTAAGTTATGAAATATGGCCTATGTGTGACTATGTGTTCTTTCCCACTAGTGAAAGTATGCTCATTCACTGAACAGTGAAAATCCAGAATGGGAAAACACCGTTATACAATGACATAGCACAGTACATGTTTATCATGGGAGTACAAAGGATTGTGTGGCAAGAATAATCAAAAACTATTTCTTCCTTCATCTGGGTAATACATGGTGTACATGGAGTCTATGTGGACGTCCTCGGGTTACTACTGATGTCCAAAAGCACCCTGGTGAGTTAACTGGTTCTGCCCCCTCCTACACCTCTCTCTACCTTTTCCCCTTTACTGTCTCTGCTTATTTAACCATCCCTACTCTAACTCCTTGGAAGTCTCTGGCCCCACAACTAGCCCCTCTAACTACTCTAATTACTTGAGAACACTCAGCATCTTTACATGGGCATTTTGACAAAGATAAATGAATTAAAGTAGTATTAAAAAGGTAGGGTATTTTTTTACCTTAATGCAATCTCTGCATTAAGGGCCCAGTCACACCAATACCAGTTAGCTGTTGGAATGCCCTGGATCGCATACTGTAAGCCTCCCTGCATTCAGGGGTGGGAGGGGGGGTGTCACAATGCATTCAAGTCAACTGCACCGCAGCAACGCAATGCCCACATTCCAGTCCGGTGCAATTGCAAAAAATAGGCGATCGCGCTGCAGGCAAGGGGGCGTGACTCTGGTGCCATTGACCTGAATGCACCACCACGCTCCCTCCCACCCCGAATGCAGGGAGGCTTACAGTATGGGATCCAGTGCGTTCCAGCAGCTAACCATGCTGTAACGCACTGGAATTGGGGTGAACAGGCCCTGAGGTAAAAAAAAAACTCCCAGTACCTTTCTGTGTCCCCTGTGTCTTACCTGTCAGCGCCGCTTGTCACCACCGCCACACCCCAAAGCGATTCTCCATTCCAAACTTTTTGGTTGCTGGCGAGGAGATTGAGGCCAGAGGAGCCATAGGCTCCTTCTGCCGTCAACCTTTTGGGCGGAGAGGAGGGGCGTGGCCTCCAGCAGGGCTGTGTGCCTATGGACGCACACAGCTACTGCGGGTGCAGCCTGGAATGCACGGTGCCCCCACAGCAGCCGCTTAGCTGAAGGAGGCACCCGTGCAGGGGAACAGCGCTGTGGGTACCTACAAGAGAACGAGGACTTGAAAGAATTAAAAAAAAAATTTAAAAATATGAAGAACACAGGATCTGAATCCCACACAGGAGCTCCCTTGTGTACAAAAAAAAAGGAAAAGGTTTCATGTCACTTTAATAAATCTTTGTTGAACCATGTTGAGACTAAACAAATTTCTGTTACTTGTGTTCTATGGAATTGTGCTTCTTCATATGTGTGCAGGCTGCCATATGATGTACTATGACGTCCCTCTGCTAACTCATATTGTACTTTCTTTTTTACCTTCCTATTGAATAAAAATGTATTATATTAAAAAGGTATCTGGTTTCCTTTAAATTATTGCTGTTGTGTGTATGCTTAATGAAGGTGTATTTGATTGGAAGCTCCCATTAGGGCAGTGACTAATGTGAATGGTACATTGTTAGAGCTCTGCTGCAGTCACAGCCCACTGTCCCTCGTAACATGGTTAGTTTATAAGATTTTTCATATATAATTTTAAAGTGTATGTATAGTCAAAACCTGTTTGGATATGGTAGGGATTGTTAAAAGCCCTGTCAGCTTATTTTTTGCTGTCCGTGTCCTATTGGAGAGATTTCCCTTCACTTTGTTTCTCAGAGACGCAACAAGTCAAGAGGAAGTCTCCACAAAATGATGGAATCTCCCTTAGACAATTATCACCAGAAATTGTGTCCTCATTGGAAGATCTATACTCCCCTCTTGTTCTGGTGACAACTCTAACATTTTGGATTGTACATCTTTTTGTCTCTGGGACAATAGGTGGGTAAATTTCCCTAATAGGGACAAAACTAACAATAAAAAAAAACTTGACAGAGGCTCATATCCATCCCTACTTTATCCAAAACTAAACTACATGTGAAATAGAACTGGCATTTGAACCAAGAACTATGGCATAAGGGAAGGTCTGAGCTGGTAATAAGTAAACAACTAAAGCAGAACACAGGATTGGCTGGTTGTTCATACAAGGTATAGATGTCAGCACCTAAAAACTCCACCCCAAATCAGGATCTAAACCAGCTACCATACCACACCTAAGCAATGACACCAGACAGAGAATCAATCCAATAAGCTGCTGCAGAAGTGTCCAGGTGGAGTCTTTACCCTCTATCTAGTCTAATGGAAAATAATAAAATTAAATAAATGGCGGCACGCAGATCCTTCACAAAATCTTTATTAAAGTAGTATTAAACTATCAAATCTGTTTTCAATAATGCATCCATAACAGATATATATACATTTCCAAGCAAAGTCATTATTTAAATGCTTCCCCAAACACCTACAGTCATCATGTTTCTGAACAGCTGGCTCCAACTCTTTCAGCTGAGCTACCTGAACATTCTGTCCAGTATAAGATGACAAGAAAAGCATAGACTCCAGCAGCTGTCCACCCTCTAGTCTGGAGATGGCAAGGGGGAGGAAGTTGGAGTGGGGAACACACACAGCTTTTTAGCACAAACAAGTCTCCATAGGACACTGCAAGGTAAAGAAGAAGTCACCCTAAAACAGGATATCAGGGCCAGCACTCAGGAGACCTGATTCTGCATGAAGCTAAAACTTTTAAATAGGGATGCACCGATACCGGTATTTTGGTAACAAGTACCGATAATTATTTTTCGGTACTCGCCGATACCAATTAAAGAGTAACAGAAGTCCCATTCAGGAAGCCAGGTGGCGTGTAATGACTCACCACCTGGCTTCCTGATTAGCTGGGAAGCCGGGCAGCGTGTAAAGATTCGCCACCCGTCTATCGGTGCATCCCTACTTTTAAACATAAAGAAACAGTATCCATTGTAGGTAATTTAATCAGCACTGAACTAGCCTAAAAACATTTTGACTTTAATATCACTTTAAATCAAGGCAGAAAACCAGTCATAACAAACAGGCTAATGCATTTCAGGCAATATGGCCTATTCACAGCTATGATTAAGGCTACATCTGCTCAAATGCACTAGAGCAGGGGTGGCAAACACAAGGCCCGCGGGCCGAATCCGGCCCGCCGGACCTTGTAATGTGGCCCGCACCGCAGCCACCTCATTTTGCTCCGTCTCCACCTCCGCCCTGTCTCATGGCCCTATGTGATACATCACTGCAAAAACCCATGCCGGCCACAAGATGGTATGACCATCGTGTTCTCTCCCCCACCTCCTCATCTACCGCGCATGCGCAGATTGTGGGCCGGGGGTCGGGCATCGCTTCGGGCGGAGAGGCAGCAGGGGATGGAGAGAGAGTGACCCGGGGTCCGGCAGGGGATTCGGCTGGGTAAGTGGCTGCGTGTATGTGTGGGGCAGTTGCGGGGGAAGCGGAGTGCATGGTGCTGGAAGTTGCAGTGATGGTTGGTGGAAGGTGTATGCTGTGTAGGAATGTGCAGCAGCACCATGCGTGGAATATAAACGTGTGATAAGGATGTATAGTCATCATCCAGAGGTGCAGAGATGGGCACATGTGAGTAGATGCATAGTCCTATACAACCGGCCCTTTGAGGGTAACCATACTGCTGATGCGGCCCCCGATGAATTTGAGTTTGCCACCCCTGCACTAGAGTGTTTGTTATGACAGGTTTAATGCCTTGAAATCAATAAAAAAAGATTTTGTGAAGGATCTAAACTGTGTGCCGACTATCTCTATCCTGGTTTTAGGGAGGGCTGGTGGAAGCCTTTGTTGTGCACCAGTGTTCTGTATGCTAGCATTGGATGGAGGAGGTAAAGTACTTTCTTGGCATTTACTAACAGAAAAAAAACATGCAGATAACTATGGCAATTAGTAAGCGATATGAACATGTGGCTGACAACAACTGTTATAACCAGATATCTGAGCCAAGCATCCTAGTATATTAGAGCAGCTAAAACATGTGCCACTAAAACAGAATAGAGACTATTTATTCATATTGTAGATATCAGCTGCAGGCTTTGGGCTCCAGAGTGATAGGAAATCTAAACAAACACAATAGGAGCGGTTCAGTAAAACATTTGCAACACTTTTCTGGCCATATTTTAAAGCCCTGCGCCAAATACATGAAAGCCATGCATCAGTTTTCTGGCTATTTCCAACATGAGCAACACATTCAGGTGGTTCTTATGTGCGACACTTTTTAATACTGGCTCTACAGTGACAAATTAATGAAGAAATAGCACACACAAAAAAAAGCGGAAGTAAATAGGACCTCTGACATGATAGAGTAAATTGTGTTGCATGTGTATAGATTGTTGTAGACAAAATTCTGTCTGAGGCAATTCTGCAACAGATTTATATACACTTCTTTCCAAAATAGTTTATTTAGGTTTAAACAAGGTCACCATGTGACCATAAGAATACAATACAGTACATGCATTTATTTTTTGTTTTGTTTCTTGTGTTTTAGTAGCCAAGTCACGGGTGGACCACATTTATCAAGAAATATAACATGCAAAATAACATGAAAGTATGCACTCTAACTTGGTCTTGTACACATACATATAAATATATAGATATATAAATGTGAGGATTTGAAAGGGATGACCCAATACCGAGAGTCCCATCACTATATTCGATGTTAAGGGAGTCCCTATATACTGATCTAGTTGTCCGCGAGGTAATAGGGGAACGTAGAGGGAGTCTGCCAGTCTTTTGTAATTAGATTGCCCTCCACGTCCCCCTAGCGACTGCGGTCGACTCCTATTATCCTCCCAGCAATGGACATCAAATTATATACACTTACTGACAGTTACAGGTACCTGTTGCATCATTTGTTGCATGGATGGGAAACAGATCTCGACTGAGTGTCTAGGACACTCTATGAATTTCTGGCAATAAGGGCAGTGTCGATGGGAACAGAACATAGTACTGCAAGGGGACTGTACCAACCACAAAGTAATTGTACGTTCCTAGCCAAATGCTACTTATATAGTCACATAGGAGGGCCACAGGTGTGCCCTCTGCCCCCTTTCTGGCCGGAGCGCCCCACCCAGCTCACTGACTTCACTGGTTTCCAGCTGAGCTCCTGGCAAGCAGTGATGTGAGTGAGCTGGGTGGGATGTTAGATGGAGCCAGAGGTCCTGCACAGTCCCAACCCCCCCCCCTCAGACAGTGAAAAGTGAGGACACCCCTGCTAGTAGTGACAGACACATCATCAGAGCTTACCTCCACTGTATGCTGTTTAAGTACAGGCAGGCTTAGATTGTTACAGAGGTCCACTCCACTTTGTCACTCTATTCGCCCCACCATGACCAGCTGAGCTGTAGGGACCAGAAGCATAATTTGCAGCCCTGGGAATTGACATAGATTTCATAAGTAGGATGCACAGGAGATTTACAATCACAGAAGGTAAACATAACATGCAGACACAGTAACATTTATATATGATAATAACACCGTTTCTCTATTGTAACACTGAATAGGAAAAGGGACAGGCCTGACGTAAGGACTGATGAGCAAGTATAATATCTATGAATGTAGAATAATGATCACTGACCTAACTACCCTGTACTAGAACCTGTGCCCACAGCTATCCATACTAAACGTGTACATACTAGGCAGCCAGCATCTTCACCAAGGTTGTTTCTTTGCCTAGGCATACAATACAGGTGACATTATTAGTAATAATACGGTATAGCAATGGAAGTCACGTGATCCTCCCCTCTGTCGCTCACCTGCACAAAGCGAGTCGTGTTGAGTCCGCCTCTCCTACGCCCTGATTGGCGGCTGCATGACCTGTTCCCTCAACGCTGGTTGGTCGGTACTACAGGTGATGGACACCAGTCTAAACCAACCGAGAACGTTCACTCGATTAACGTTTTAGAAAACCGTTCAGTTTGTTCGGTATCATCTTTCCCTCTCTACCTCCCACCGTACAAAGTTTCGGCCAGCTGTGATCCCCCAGAGCTTCGACAGCAGCCAAACACCGCTGGCTCTACGTCACTTCCGCACGTCATGACGTCAGGAACGTAGGCCGTGCCCTGATTTGAACAAACTTTATTGTTCGGGCGCACAGTGTAAATACAAGTATAGCGTGTACGGAGATCCTTTCAGCTATGTTCTACCATGTGAGTATAAAATCTTTATCTGCGGTTATGATATATGTTATTCTTCATAAGGAGGGGGGGCTTTACGTGTCTGTAGCGTGCTAGACACTTGCTGCTCACTCATGGGTTGTTGGGAATATTGTACTATGTTCGGATTCACTGGCTGATCCAGATTATCTCAATGTTTCCAATGTATACACAATCATTGCAATATATACCCGCCACCAACAGATCCTCCGATCACTAGGAAGGACCTACACTATGCTTTGCAACAGACTAAGCCGGGCAAGTCTCCTGGTCCAGACGGCTTGCCCTCTCTATACTATAAACCAGCATTTTTCAACCTTATTCCAAGTATGGCGCCTTATACATGTATGCAAGATCTCGAGGCACCATGTAAACAAAAGTGTGGTTACTCACCCCCCCATTATATAATCCATGCTAGACTCTTATCTTAGGCATGGGTCCGGTATGAAATTCTAAGGCGGGGGGCAGGACCCCAGGCAAAAGAAAAACATCACATCAGAAGCCCCACTTCACATCAGAGAGTCTGCTGCCCCCTTTTTTGTAAAAATGTGAAGGAACCCGTGACAAAGCCAGAAGGCAACCCAGGGTACTTTTCTGAATTATATGCTTTTCTTTATTACCGAGCTGAATACGTCCCTTACAATCTTGTACAATTGTTTGAGGAATATGGAAGCCTTTTCAATCTAAAAATCAACTATTTGAAAATGGCGGCTCTTAATATTAATGTCCCCCTCCAGTGGCGCTTGGCCCTCCACAGGGGATATATCGCTTTTATTGGTCCATGTCATACATTAAGTATCTGGGGATTAATCTTTCTAAAGACCTGAAATGTATTTATCAGCTTAATTTCGTCATGCTCTGCAAAACAATTGAAAAAGACTACCGAAGTAGTCTGAATTGACATTCCCTAGAATGGCAATAATTTAAATGAATGTGCTTCCCAGGATGCTGTATCTCCTGCAAACAATTCTGATTACCTTGGCGCCCCCCTCTTTCTTGAACAATAAAAATAGACTCTTACTCAGCTTTGTGTGGGTTAGGAAGCCACCACAGATACACAGGTCCATTCTCCAAGATGCAAAGAATAGGGGTGGGTTTGGGGTCCCTAACCATTAAATATTACCAAGCGCATCACCTTATGAGGATGGTGGACTGGAATGTCCATGAACGTACCAAAGCATGGGTCCAGTGGGAACAGGCCTGGTCTAGGCATAGAATTTCGGCCCTCCCGTGGTTGGACAGGTATCGACGCAGGTGGCACAACATCATTGATAAGTGCCTCTTTACAGGTCTTTTATGCGGCATGCCGGAAGTTTTACATTCAATGGTACCTGGCTCTCTTACACCTTCGATGGGTAATTTTCAATTCCGTGGGCAATACGCAAAAATTTCACATTTTGGGATTGCTCAGAATTGCTCAAACTACCTTTTGAAACAGTAAAGTTGGGTAAGTTGGGATCGAGACATCTTATGCTTATACACCATGCTGCTTGACTTAAATCCCTTGGCTTCTCAACATTTCAAGAATAAGTGGGAATGCAGGTTAGGCATGTAATGCACTGAGGAACAGTTGGAGACCCTGACTCAAGAGTTCGCAATGTAATAATATTCAGGAAATCAACTACAAGATCTTTTCGCACTGGTATCGTACACCTGATTTCCTAAATCGACAGCAGGATCCCGGCATTTTGCTGATGCTGCTCAGGGGAAGTGGGATCACTGGTGGGATCACTGCTTCATATTTTCTGGTTGTGCTCTGAATTACAACCCATCTGGAAATCAGTCCATGGCCTTGTTCAGAAGGTCACTGGGAGTGGCATGCCATTTAAACCAGAAATGTTCTATTCCATGCTCATGCAGGGTCTGTGTGATGCCTACAAATGGTCTTTGCAAAACCATCTAATTAATACAGCTAGAATTATCATACCAGACAATGGTGGACAGTAGATCCACCAACGATTTAGGAAATGGATTACACAGGTGACATGTACAAGAAATGGAAGCGATTATGTTATCTAACAAGATAGAGCAGTAGTGTTCTCTGCACATGGAGCTGTTAGGAGCATTTCAAATCCAGTTCTTCTTATGCTTCTTTATCTGAATCCTATAGGACTCCAATGTCATGCCTGATCCCTCTGCTTGTAGCTCTTGAGTTACATAGGAGGGGAATTTGGTGGAGTTATTGGGGCCTGATGGAGGTTCCATAATCCGATTTATATGTGCTAAATCATTTTGTAAATTTAAGACATAGCAGTCAAAATTCGAAAATACACTTTGCCCACCGTGATGGTGGAAGAACAACCATGATGACCAAAGAGAATGTATCAGCACATAGCGACCATAAGCTTATTTCTACATCCAGTCATATTGACAGCACATACTTTTACAATTACTTCAAAAGGAAATGGACAGTCCTCATAAATTATTCCAGAGACTTGGCTGTATTGCTAATTATGGATCTTGGCTCAAATGTAGAGATGTGGTATTTATAGTAGTCCTTTTTTGTGGTTACCCTCATTTCATATGCAACTACCCTGTTATTGATCTTTCATTGATGTAGCATTAAGGAGCATTTGGAGAGCAGACTTTCCCTCCTAGGGCTGCAACAACTAATCGACATAATCGATTATAATCGATTATTGAAAAAGTTGTCAACTTTTTCAATAATCGATTAATCGGCTTCCGATCAGTTGGCCCTGTTCACGGCTCCACACGCTCCGCTGTATGTATAATGTATTGCTGGGATTTGTTGTATTCCTATATAGCTGGTGATATTCTGCACTGCACTGTATAGAGGACTACAAATCCCAGCAATAGTACATTATACAGCGCAATGCAGAATACCACCAGCTATAATGTACTATTGCTGGGATTTGTTGTAGTCCTCTATAGCCGGTGCAATTCTGCATTCATTGCTGTATAATTTTACACTTTCCATTTCACTATATTGCACACCACACTATTTTTTTCCACCGCTCCAAGCTTGCTCCTGTGATGGACTACAATCTCAATACAAACTAGTAGTCCCATCACTGGAGCCATTTTTAATTTTTTTTTTTATTGTTTATCCGATTAACCGATTAATCGAACTTAATAATCGGCTAACTAATCGATTTTGAAAATAATCGTTAGCTGCAGCTCTATTCCCTCCTAGAATGGATTCAGGAGGTATACCTTTTTGTGAATGGTTTTTAATTCCCTCACATAGTGCCATTTGCAGGAGTATTGAGCCAGAGTACCCATGGGCCCTACATTTCAAGGTACCATGCCACAAAGTTTCTATTCTCTAGTGTCATCAATACTTTGCTTGCTGTAAATATATTACAGGTTTGCTTTAAAATGCATGAATTTTCTGTACAATCTCCTTTTTAGATCTAGCAACATTTATGAAGTGCAAGGGCCTGCCTGACTGGATACAAATTGAATGAATTATTTAGGTTAATCTTCGTATTACAATTTTGCTAAATCTAAAAAAAGACAGTACAGTGATTTGTACAATCAGATTTAGTATTAAGCACCTTACTACAAATGGGATGGGACTTGCAATGTGCCTAATCCCCCTCCCCTTTGCCAAATTTCTCGTCTCTCCTGCTGTTCCTGGAAGCCCAGGATCACAATAAACTTTGCAAGGATGGACATCAAGGAACATCCATTTCCCAATGTCCTTTTGAGTTGTCAAAATCCCATCCAAAGCTGGGTACACAATCAATCTGTGCTTGATCAGCAGGAGAGACATTGATAGACCCTTCATGTCTACATGTCACTTGCCCAATGCTATCACAAAGAGGGCTTCTTAGGGGAGCCATACACCGCTCGAATTTCGGTTGATTTCTGCTAAATCAGTTGAAATTTGGGCCTTGGGTGGCCTTGTAGCCATGCAGCTCGACAAGTTGATTGAAAAATTGACTGAGATTTAAGATTATCAGCTGAACAGTGACTGCATCCTATTAGATGCAGACGCAGGTATTGCGGCTGTCTGTATGCAATAGCCGGCAGTGAAGAATCGAGTGATTTGACAGAAATCTAAACATATATGGCTAGCCTTGTGACCACAATAATATGAAATAAAAAAAATAAAATAAATGCATATATATATATACAGTATATTAACCATAACCCCCAAAAATGTCAATGTACCAGCACCCCTCTGTGCATATGCAAACGAAAGCACAGGTAGGGTGTGCACTTGTATGTAAACAAAGATGACTCCACACACTGGGTATACAGGTGAAACTCGAAAAATTAGAATATCGTGCAAAAGTTCTTTTTTTTCACTAATGCAACTTAAAAGGTAAAACTAATATATGAGATAGACTCATTACATGCAAAGCAAGATAGTTCAAGCCGTGATTTGTCATAATTGTGATGATTATGGCTTACAGCTCATGAAAACCCAGATCCACAATCTCAGAAAATTTTTGGCAGTGTGGGCAGGTGCCAAGTCCTGCTGGAAAATGAAGTCAGCATCCCCATAGAGCTCATCTGCGGAAGGAAGCATGAAGTGCTCCAAAATCTCCTGGTAGACGGCTAAGTTGCATTAGTGAAATAAATGAACTTTTGCACGATATTCTAATTTTTCGAGTTTTACCTGTATAATGGGGTTTTAGGTAATTTTCTAGCGAAAAATTAAGATTGCTCCAGCAGCAAAAGAGTTAAATTGGACCAATATTGATGTGTAGAATTTTTTTTTTAATTCACTTGGGTACATAGATTAAAAGTGTGCATGTAATAGTTCTTCTTTACTGGAGTATATTGTTTTTCAAACACTTTGTGGCAGAAATTATTTCTAGACAATATAACTCACCATTTCTTGTTGCAGATATCACTGGAACATGAGATTCTTCTGCACCCCAGGTATTTTGGGCCAAACCTTCTCAACACGGTCAAGCAGAAGTTGTTCACTGAGGTGGAGGGGACATGCACTGGCAAGTAAGTATATGCAACTAGCAAGTAAATGTGACCAGATGTATCTTTACATGTGAAGATTTAAAGTACAACTTTTTAGTAATAAAAATGTAGGCATCTGAGTACAGGACTAAAATGTGGGCTTGAGCACCCTGCCACAACGCTCGAATATGTAAATGTAAAGATCCAGACTGGCCTTTCCACACTTTCTTATTGGCTGGTAAGACTGTTCTTCGTAGTAATGGGCTTCTGCATAGTGTTTACATTAGGAGTGTAATGATGTCACGGCACATTCTGAGTGCGGAGGCTGGGGCAGAGCTGTTGCAGCTCTACCCAGCATCTTTCTGCAGCAATAGATTCCCTATAGCATAACAAATCTTCACTTTTTAGGTTAAGCTCTATTTTACAAATCGGCAAAATAACATGTGTTGTGATACTGGCCTTCAGTAAAAGCCAGTAATACCCCTTTCACTTTAAGGCATACTTTCCCCAGTCATCGTCCAGGGCAGCCTATGAGAGATGGGATCCTCCCACCTGAAACGGGAAACACATCATCCACAATTAGAATAAAAAGGGCGGTCCCTCCTAATCACCTCCAGTATTTTGTGTTTCCTCCGGCCGAACAGGAGCACCGCAACGTTTGTTATTTTACTCCAGGCCTATCATGCTAGATAGCAGGGGCCTCCTGAGGCATGCTGCTCTCACTCGCAGGACAGTGGACCTGTAGGGTCTCTAAGATTGAAATTTTTGTTTTTCATTTTACACTTCTTGTCCAGCATGATTCATTTGGAGTGTGATTTCTAGTAATGAACCATGGTTTTTTTTTTTATAGATGCTCAAAAACCCTATTTAATCACATCAGCATAACCAAACCAAAGCACACTCTTATTTTATTCCTATTTTTCCTCCAGGTACGGTTTTGTGATTGCCGTTACTACAATTGATAACATCGGCGCAGGGGTGATTCAACCTGGAAGAGGCTTCGTTCTTTATCCTGTCAAGTACAAGGCCATTGTCTTCCGGCCTTTCAAGGGAGAGGTAGTGGATGCCGTAGTTACTCAAGTCAATAAGGTGAGATTTCATTTAGCAAAACATTTGAAACTTTAGTAAAAAAAATAATAATTCTGCATATGTGGTGATTTTACTACTTTCCAAAAAAGTGACACTTCTGTTCATCCACTTTTCTTTCACAAAGGTTTTATTGTTTTTTGTTTTTTTTTTGTATAGAGCGTACAAAGATAACAAAGTCAAGGCTTGCAAGCCATGTGGCAGATAACAATACGGAGAGGAGGCAGTCTTAGTGCTACGCAGAGCACAACACAGTACTTTGAGTTACCAACAAACTTGGTGTTGAGGATCCTGAAAAATGGCACAATAAGGACAGCATTGTATATACCTAATGGGCAGACAGTAGGGATCGAGAAGGAAGGATCGCTATTTGGGAAACATTGCAATTCTGGATTCTGATCCTCTAGGAAAGGATGGCCATAGGTCTCAACATTATGCCACAGGACGTGTGGTCCAGAGGGGGAAGAGCACGTTAATCAGTATATACGTTTGGGGGAAAAGGTGAAGGGGAGGGATAAAGAGTACTGCAGAAGGTACAGATGGGTGGGGAGAAGGCGGGGGGTGGGAAGAAACAAGAGGAAGGTGGGGTAGAAGGAGCCATTCAGGAGGACAGAAGGGGAGGGGGAGTACACGGTCTCTAGATGGATAGCAGCTGCGAATCGAAAGATGGTGGTCTAGAGTAATCAATCCAAGGCTGCCAGATCGCAAGGAAGCGGTCATGTGTGTCTGACAATATCGCCGTCAGTTTTTCGTTCGCTAAAATATCGTCTAGGTGATTCTTGACCTCCTGTTCATCCACTTTTCATATAACTCTGTTATATTGTATAGCCAGTAGAGCTACACTGCTATTCATAGGAAAATAAACTCGCAATCGTTACACACTAACTCCAGCCTACTGCACAATGAATGAATGAACATTAGAAAACTGGTGAAGTCCTCTCCCCTCTCTGTAAGCTTCCTGAACACCTCTAACTTCACATTTTAGTCTCTAGAACATTAGGAATACAGCATCAAAGAAAACAAAACAACCTGATTGGTTTACAATACTGGCACTTCCAAGCTCGGACATATTTCTGCTTTGCAGCGGATTATGAACTTGGATTTTATGTAATTATATTAGCAGTGATTACAAATATGTTTGAAGAATACCTAACTGGGCAAAAGGTTTTTTTTTTTTTGTTTTGTCATTTTTGCTGAGAGCTCTGAAATGGTACTACCAAGCTTAATTAAGAATTAAGTGAAAAAGTTAAATTGTATTTACTCCCACAGGGCCATAGTCTCTTTCCCTTCCCCAGGAGACAGCACTTGGCCAATCAAGAGTCACCTGTGCTGTCACATTAAAGAAGGGGAGTGACTTGCATGCTTATCCATATACACAGAAATTCAGGGTATTTTACACGGCTTCCAATGACCAAACAAAGTAGAGAGCGAAGGGAAAAATAAGGAAATGCTGCTGGGAGTGGGAGCTACGTGGACATTTTACTTGCAGTGCATTCACAAATGAAAGGGTCACTTTAAGCACTATGGTTAATGTGTAAATTAAATCTTGAAGGTTAGTGTTGGCTGGTATTTCTTTTCCCCTCCATGTTTCCGAAACATGCATTAGTGTGCCAGAATGAATGCTATGTAATGTCTGCTACCATGAATTGGTCTTATAGTTGAATTCCATATGAATGTAGGAATGTAAAATTAATATTTTCACACAGCTTCTAGTGTAATGTATATTTTTTGCTGGTAAGATTGTCAAATCTCCCTTTTAAAAGGATGAATATCTTCTGGTAGTCTATGGGAGACATGATTCTCCTGTCTACTAGGTGTGTGTGTGTGTGTCAATCAAGGATGGCAGTGTTTATAATCCACTTATTTCTTGAACTTTACAGGTTGGGTTATTTACAGAAATTGGACCTATGTCCTGCTTCATTTCAAGACATGTAAGTTTCTTTTAATATTTTGAACACTGTGGAACTCTTTTAATGAGGCACGATTCATTGACAACTGAGCAGCAACTATCATGTTATGACAGATAAAAAATGAATTCTGGTTGTATAGGTTACTGCACACTGTTGCTGATTGCACTGCCTTGTTGATTAAAAGGGACCATAAAGGAAAATGTTACTTTAAGTACAGTTGTCATTAACTACCTCCCGGCCAGCCGCTGTGTATACACGGCCTGCCGGGAGCTTCTTGGATGTAACTGGGCGTGTGTACACGTCCTGTTACATCCGCCCGCTCGGGCGCGGGAAATCTCCTGTTGTGTACAGCCTTCTTGTTAAATAATTGCCTTCCTCCCCACACCCTAAATATTGGCTCTGCCCAGCATAACACAGTCCTTTTAAGGGTTAGGTCTCGGGCCGGGTTCTCTTTCCACTGCATACGCGCACCATAGCCCTGTGTATTTATGGCTAAACCATACTCTTGGTGGCCCCCAGTGGATTACAGCTCATCCATAGCTATTAATGGAGTTATAGAGCACTGTAGGAAAATGACTTGGTTTATGCTGGTGTTGCATTTAAAGTGTGCATATATCTACTTATGAAGGTATCTAACTGATCTTGTTCTTTGTTTCAGTCCATTCCATCTGAAATGGAGTTTGACCCCAATTCTAATCCACCTTGTTATAAGACTGTAGATGAGGTAAGAGACATGCCTATCTCTTGGCTAAAAAGCAAAGAATCATATGGGATGACTGGGTACAATGTGTGGTATTATACGTTACCAGAAAGGTTTTACTACTTTATGCAAAATACATAAAAATGTGTAGTGCTTAAAATTGTTCAAAATAACCTTTGGTATATTTTTAGAGCCCCATCAAACCTTTTTGAAAGTGTCTGCATAAATTCAGTGTGTATAAAGAAAACTCATTGTTGAAGGTATTACTTCTGTTGTTTTTACAATTCAACTCCAGCCCCAGTAAAACAGCCCACTTCCCACCAGTAGGCTCGCGCCAACAATCATCCCACTTTCAAAGGCTGTTAAATCGCGTTGTTTACCCATATTGTAAACAACCTGCTTCCCTATATATTCTGTCTGCGATTGGCTGTAGTTCCACCCCAGGCTAAAGCCCAATTTGTGGGAGTTCCCATAGAAGTACAGCTAGCACAAAGTGTGAATCTTACCCTGCCAACACTGACTCCTAATTCTTAACACCAGCCTTAGTAAATGATTAGTTGGGACTGTGTGATCTATCTGATGTGCTTTGTATGTTTACAAGCTGTGGGCAGATCACAAAGCCACGCAGAGTTGGATAATCTTTTACTATTGTGAAATAATAGTCAGCGCTGTCGAGGCTATATCTGTGATCTTTGATATATCTGCAACTGCTAGTGAACATGCATACCACTGGCAGATAGATCATGCAGCCCCAACAACGATGACTGTTCATTCACAATCGTAAAGTTCATTCTGCGCTGAGGGGCTGTGTGATCTATCTGCCTGTGCTGTGTATGAACAGCCCAAGATAGATAACCCAGCCATGACAGCACTGTTTATCCACAATGTCAAAGATCATTCAGTGCTGTGGTGCTATGTGATCTAACCTCTGCTTGTAAACAGTACCAGCAGATAGATCATACAGCCCAGACAGTGCTGATTGCTCTTTTACTAGTGCTTTTGTTGTGGATGGAGCTGTGCTGAATGACGGCTCTCGTCTCCAGTGTGCACCTGCTGCCCAAGTTAAATCCTGTCAGTAAGCCCTCATTAGTTATCCATTTCTCGTGAGCTCATGGTTGGACAGTGATGGGTGTAAGCTGACAACCACACTAGCTCTGGAATGGGGCTACAGATTAGAACAGGACAAAGTACTGCATGGAGGTGGTTTATATGAGGTGACACATGCATCTTTGATGTATTTAAATGTGTATACATTATGTCCCTCCTTTCCTTAAGTTCCTGCAGTTTCTCCTGATATGTTTTCAACCTCAGAACTTTCAACATTCTTGTTGCCTGTCTATGAACTCGTTCTGTCTTCTCAGGGTATTTTTGTAAGGGCTGGACTGGGCACACTATTCTAAATGAGGTCTAGCTAAAGTTCTAGATAGGGGAATTGGGACTACCTCCTTCCGAATGCTAGTTCTTCTAGTGATGCACCCCAGAGTTCTGTTTGCTTTTACCACTGACAGGCCACACTGTTTGCTCATTTTGCAATTATCATAATCATTAACCAATATGCTAATGTCTCCTGTAGGATGTCGTTATACAGCAAGATGATGAAATTCGCCTGAAGATTGTGGGAACTAGAGTGGATAAGAATGATATTGTAAGTAAAACAAGCCTTTCACATATGCACTTTGAAACCACATCTTCCTTTTTAAAGGCCAGCTTCACTTCATAAAATGTTGCATCTGACAACTCTGCTGTCGGAAATCTGCGGGTGTACTATTTCCACAATCAAAGATTAGGTCACTAAAGATATTTCATTTTGATAGTCTTTATCAAAAAAAAAGCCTGATTGTTGGCATTCGAGGGCATATAAAGAAAATCAACGGCTTTTTACCTTGTTCATTAGTTGGATGTCCAAGCCTGGAGGTCAGAGGAACTTTGCCTAGCATTTGTTCTAGTCAGATGATTGGAATATTTTGAGGGGAGGAGACCTGTTTTAGGGCAACTGATGACTTGCTGCAGGTTTCAGGGCTGTCATCTTGTTCCTGGCTTTACTACGTTAGTCACTGACCTGAAACGAGTGTGTAGAATTGGTGAGTTCAGACTTCACTTGTGGAATGTTTCTTTTTATTTTTTTTAGGTCAGTGACTTATTAGCTTGTGATGCCATTTTTAGGATGACGACCACCAAAGTCTGCAATGTCGACTCCCTTATTTCTGACCTAATGACTTAAGTTGTTGTGGTTTTTTTTTAACTCCAGTTGCAGAGGCTCCTATATGCATACCCATTACAGAGGCTCCTATATTGAAATCTGTGTTTTAGAGTGTACAGGACATGCTTTTTACTCTGAGTGGGATACCTTGGCACTTAGCTGTTTGTTCTTTAGTCACAAGAGTGTTTAGTTATAAGATTAACCTAGTAGAATCTGGATCATATTTTGAAGTTCTGTGTAGACAATTGGTAATGGTTAAACTGTACATAAAGAGCAATTCCAGGCAGCAAACGATGTTGGTCATTGAACTACTCAATATCTTCAGACAACATTGCAACTATGTTCAAGTCAGAAACACTCCGTTATATCGAAGTAGTATAATTATAAAAATCCAGCACATATTGGTTTAGTGGATTTCTCGCAGGGCTTGAGGGTAAAACTGCAGCACCTTATCACATTATTTTGATCTGTGCTATCATTAGATTTTATTGTGAGGGTAAGGTCACAGTGGGCTTGGATAAAAGGGCATTGCACGGTCAAATTCAGGGACATTATTAAAATTAAGGATACTTTCACCTATAAGGGTTTAGCTTCCACAAAAGCCAGCTCCACAAGGTGACTGTCAAGGCTAAAATGATACCTTCTAAAGAAGAAATATTGAGATGGATGTTTCTGACCTCCTTTTTGAAACTGCCAAAGTTTCAGACATGGAACAAAAATGCAGCATGGAATGTCAGAATTCCTTATTGCTGTATTGGTTGTTGGTGAGTGACTCTGAAGATGATGACATAGTCAAACCACCAGCTTGACAACCAGGCAACTGGCATTTACTGAAGGAGCAAGGGCAGTTTACATAATTCTTTTGACTGCTTCACTTGTAATATTTTTTTTTTCTATGTAAATGTTGCTTTGTGTAATGTCTTGTATGTAAAAAAGAATAAAATAGAAGCAGTAGGGGTTTTACATTACTCATTTTTATTAGTGTCCTACTGTATAATCTACAGTACTCTATAATCTAACATTTAATTTCTTTTCAGTTTGCAATTGGCTCTTTGATGGACGATTACTTGGGTGAGTGTCTGATGTGCTGGGCTATTTACTACTTTAGGTTCATTTTTTTTTTTTTTTTAAAGCTGATGTTTATCACAAACAGAAGATGTCTTATTAGCTGTGGCAATACTGTGCACGCTAGTGAGCTTGATTTTATTTTTAAGAAAGGAGTGGAAAGCAGAGTTTACATTTACTTCCTCTTATGGGATAGGAACACAAACATCATCAAAAAACAGAAGGAACTCTATAAATTATTACCATTTAAAGGTCTGCTAAACTAGACTAGGCTGTGGTAAACCGTGTGATTTACCATAGTATAGAGAGTATCCAGCAGAATCTTTTTGCCTTCACACTCTCTCTGATTTTAAACACCAGGCTGAACAGTGGAGATGGAGAGAGATGGGGTTGACTTGTTTAGGTTTCTGTACATTTAAGCTTGAGCTATTGAGCTCTGTAAACAGGCTTTTTTCATTAGTAAACCAGTTAACAATAACTCATAAATCTATGGGGGGGTATATAATGTAGATATAAAATCTAAACAATATTTAATATTTACCTGGCTTAAAAATTAGATTGCTTTAGGAAACATAGTAATATTACATATTTTCTTTTATTATGCTCAGGACGAGCATAATAAAAGAAAATATGTAATATTACTGTTTCCTTTTTAAAACTTGATGCAGGTGAAACCGTGCCATTAAACTTTTCCTCTTGTGCCTCTTGCAGGTCTGGTGAGCTAATGTGGTCCACCTGCTGTCGGATGAAGCTCCTTTATGCCCAGTTTATTATAGTAAATTGTGTTGTGTTGCCCCATAAGACAGTCATCATTCAGCAGCATATAGCTATATTTGCCACATAAGGCTCAATTGTAATGATATTTATTTCCTGTAATCATTCTTTATTTTCACCAATAACATCTCAAAACAAAATCTGAAAGTAAGGATCAGTGTGGCAAAGAACACATTCGGTTTAGCTTGGTGAACTGTCCGAATAATTATTGTAATGTTGACTTCTGTTTTTCAAAGAGTGTTATTTTATTAAAGAAAAATAAAAACCCAATGCAGTTGTTCAAGAATTTTAATTTCATGTGTTCCATGCTTTAATTTAACTTTCATTCCTCTTCAAAACTTGATTTCTTTTGTGGTTTCAGTGTTTTTATCCTCGATTTCTATAAATCACCTTCTCAGGCTTATTATAATTAACTTCACTGGGAGTTATAATCAATGCGCTAGAATTTCCTCTTTTGGCCCCTTGCTGAAACTGATGCATTTTTTTATGCCAGAACTTTGTGAGCTTAAAGTGTAGCAGCTTCCAATCTCCCAGCTGTGTCCCCAACTGCTTAGATACAGCTAATCAGAAGGGAGTGAAGGGGGGATGACCTGAATTAACCCTTTCGCTGCCAAGGACGTACGTCGTACGGAGCTACAAAAGTGCTTCCAGCTGGCCAGCTCAGTACGTCGTACGGACCTGGCATTTACAGTTCTACTATAAGCTGATGGTCGCTTTAGCGACCATCAGCTTATAGTAGAACTGTTCAGCAGACTGTCCCCTTTAAATTAATAGCTGTTGAAAAATGTTCCGGAGGGCTTGGCAGCGAAAGGGTTAAGGTGTTTTTTACTTTTAAGATCAAAGTAGAAAGTCCCTTTTAAATAAACTTCTGCTCTCTAACGTCAAGCATTTCTAATTATATAAATAATATGGGGTTAATAAAAGATTTCTTGTTCCTAAGAAAATGAGGGGACTGTAGACTAAACCTTTAATATCATAGCTGTTTAGATCTCTAGATATAACCTTTAAGTGGTTCTTATCCTTGTGGAACTTCACATCTTCTTAAATGACATTTAATACTTGCAGTCTTCTCATACTTATGTGCTCTACCAGGCTTATAATTATATAAGTGCCACTCATCCGTACATGTACGTATGTTACCTATCGGACTTGCATACAGCCGTGCCTGTAAGCCTTTTGTTTTGTACAGGTGGCTGCTGTATACAAAGACCTTTGACTCCTTGGCTTGGAAATATACAGCCCTCTGTGGCTGCTTGAATGAGCCTTAACTGGAAGGGTTGATTGCACTGCTTGAGATGGAGTGAATAGGACACAGACCAGCTCTAAATTTCAATAATAATGTTGACAGGTGTAGAGACCAAAAAAGAACAAATAAGAGAAGTCCATGCCCTGCCATAAACTTTGTGCAGATATCTATTTTGTTACGTTTTTTTTATATACTTTAGCTGGGGCAGAACGTAGGTGAATATTATACATGTGCTGAGGTTTGGGGGTCCCTGAGACACAAGGAAGCACTTTTTGTCACAATTTAGAGGACCTGCAGGCATATTTGTTGCCAGCCATCACATATTGTGTTTACTTTCAGTAACCTCAGTCAAACAAATAAACATTCTCTTGACCAGTCTACATGCCCTTTTGTTAAGCTTTTTATTACGCAGTCTCTGCTAGCCTTTTCACAACAGCCAAAGCAGTGGATTCACTGGCAGTTCAGTCATGGCATGAAAACAAAAGAGTGGAGTGAGTGGTGACAGCACATTAAATGTTGCATTCTGGCCGGAAGCTGTCAAATGTCTCATTTTGCGGCGGGTGGCGGGCTTCTTTTTTTTTTATTTAATTCGACGAGTCGGATGGTGCCATTCATTGTGATTTGACGTGGACCTACAGAGCTGGATGACGTGATTGACCCTGGACTACATTGATGGATCTTCCTCCTTTTTTTATTTTTGTTTGTTATTATAAAGGACTGGTCAAAAACTGTCTGATTTTTGTTCAATTAATTTTTTTTCCAAAAGTCCTGGTCTCTTTTTATTTACTTTTTATTTAACCCTTTAGTGAATGAGTAGGGGTACAACTACCTCTTACTCATTCACAAGGGGGGGGGGGGCGCATCTGCGTGCCCTTTTTATGAAAGGGGGTACCCCTATGCAAATAAGCTCCCCTGCCTGCAGACCCCCACAACCACCGGGTCAGGGTTGTAAGAAAGGTCCATTGGCATGCGGACAAGGTGCTTTTCCAGGGGGTACCCCTGGAAAAGCACCCTCCCAATACCAAGGGCATGTGGCCTGGTATGGTGTGCGTGTGGCCCCACACTTTTTTTTTTACATTAGGGGTCCCTCCTAACCTAAAGGGTCTGGTATGAATTGGGAGGGGGACCCCACACTTTTTAAAAAATGTATTCTAATTCTCAAAACTTTGCAGGGAGCGCTCTCCTGCAACCGAAATCGAGCCCAAAGATTAGCCAAACGTCCGGCTAAATCCTTCGGCTCTTTAGTGAATACCCTAGTGAACCCCCTTAGTGTGTGGCTTAGCTGGCTTGACAAAAGTAGATTACTGAATTGACTTTTGTCAAAGGAGCCAGACTGCTGATTTTCGTCCAATGTCTCTGCAGCCAATAGGCTTCAGTCACTTTTCATGTACTCGGACAGTGGCAGATGCTCAACCTCAGAATTGAGGAGAGACTTCAGTGATTCCAAGCCTACACTTCATGGTGGTTCAGGACGGGTGCTGCTGCACCAAAAGAAGGGAGAACAGAAGCTGGTCTAAAGCCACTGACCCACTATGGAGACCCACCATATAGCAATATATTATACAGCAATGCATAATACCACCAGTTATAGAGGACTATAAATCTCACGAATACATTATATAGCAAGGCAGAATAATATGAAGCTACATACTCTGTGTTGCTCCAGGGTGGTGGCCTGATGTCTCCAGGGTCTCAGGACGGCTGTGCGGAGCCTCAGGAATGCTGTATGGGGTCTCAGGAGGACTGTCCGGAGTCTCAGGAGGGCTGCGCTGAGTCTCAGAAGTTGAGCTGTAACAACTATTTGATTTAGTAGATTAAAATCAACGATGGAAAACGTTGTCAACGTTTTCCATTGTCGATTAGTCGGCTATCAATTTAATTACCTGTTCGCGTCTCCACACACGAGCCGCACACCACGCCGCTCAAGCCGCGCACGCTGAGGACATGCCTCTGCTCCTCTCTTTCCCGTGAGCTTCCTGACTCGCCGCTGCCCGCCACCAATCAAGGGCCCACGGTTCAAAGTAAGTCACTCAGCAACGAGCGCAGGTCAGCATTCAGCCCATGTCCGGGCCGTGGGCCATAAAGGCACAGGCAAAGGGCCAGATATGGCATGCGGTCCATAAAATGCCCAGGTCTGCCCTATAGGAACCCTGGGGGTGATAGATGAGTTTGAATATTTGATTCCCCAGACAGTCCTCATCGGCTATGTTCTGCTGCAGACTCCTGAAGTATATCACCCCCAGTGTTCCTATAGGGCAGACCTGGGCATGTGCTGCTATGAGAGCCATAAACTGTACGTTATTACTGAAAGGAGGGAACCCCCCAACACCACCACCATGGGGAGAATCTAAACCTTTTTAATGTTCCTGTTTGAAAAAAAAAATATATATATATAACTGGTCGGTGGTATTCTGCATTATATAGCGGCACACTGCAGAACACCAGCAGATATAGAGGAACATCAAATCCCAGCAATAATACATTAAACAGCCTGTATAATGTACTATGCTGTGATTTGGTGTTCCTCTATAACTGGTCAGTGGTATTCTGTATTGTGCCGTATAATCATTATACTGTACAGCGCAATGGAGAATAACACCAGCTATAGAGGACTACAAATCCCAGCAATAATAAATTATACAGCGCAATGGAGAATAACACCAGCTATAGAGGAATACATCAGATCCCAGCAATAGTACATTATATACAGTGCAATGCAGAATACCAGCAGCTACAGAGGACTACAAATCCCAGCAATAGTACATTATAGTATAATATACTATTGCTGGCATTTGTTGTATTCCTGTATAGCTGCTGGTATTCTGTATTGTGCCGTATAATCATTATACAGCGCACTGCTGAATACCACCAGCTATAGAGGACTGCAAATCCCAGCAATAATAAATTATACAGCGCAATGCGGAATAACGCCAGCAACAGAGGACTGACTTGATTTTTAACACCTTAAATGTTAATTCTACGATTTAAGATGTAAAAATAACTCTTGAGGGGTAGAACTTCAGTTGCTAAAAAAAAGTTGAACACGTAAAAAAAACTCTGTTATGCTTCAGTCAGAAGCCTTAACCAGCATGCTAAAAAACAAGTGGGACTTTCTTGAATAACATGTTTTCAAACAAAAAATAAATTAACAACTAGAGAGAACAAATTAAGTTTCTCTTTGTGAATTGACCACTTTGTCTGTTCTTACTGCCCACCTACAGTAACCTGGTCTCATCTGGCCATCCAACCCTCATCAGCACCAGATTCCTGGGTTTTTGAGTACCTGAGGCCTTACCTTGCACTTTGGGCCCAGTTGTATTTTTACCACACAGACGCAACATGTCTACACATTGACAGAGAGGACAGTCCCATTGCTTTGAGTGACTCCAGCCCATACTCTCCTAATGGTTCAGGTGGTATCTACTCCATATCCTGGAGGAAACCTATACCTTTATCAGGAATCCAGTGACCCTTCTTCAGCTCTGCCGGTTGAGGCCAAGTCCTGTATACTAGTGTCAGGGGCCAGGGGCCTCTACTGTATCTCCATAATTTGAGGCCCAATGCACCCATTTCCTCATGGACGCTGACCTCAGAGGTTGTAGGCTTGCTGCGGCCCCATCCCCTGCAGAGTCTATTAATATTATTGGTATTTATATAGCGGTGACAATTTACGCAGCGCTTTACACAGTACACATTCACATCAGTCCCTGCCTTCAAAGAACTTACAATCTAAGGTGCCTATCTCACATGTATACATACAAGGTCCAATGAACCTACCAGCATATCTTTAGAGTGTGGGAGGAAACCCATGCAAGCACAAGGAGAACATGCAAACTCCATGCAGAGCATGTCCTGGCCAGGATTTGAACCAGGACACCAGTGCTGCAAGGCAGAAGTGGTAACCACTAAGCCACTGTGCTGCCCAATGCTGCCATTCTGCGTTATGCTCTGGATCCCTTGGGTTCCTGTGGCATGTGCCTATCTCTGACCTTCCCAAAGCCTTAGATCAAGCTGGGTCAATGGTCACTGTTGCAATGTCTGACTCAAATAATCTGTTTTTTTGAGGCACCACAGTCTCCTGACGTCAAATTAGAATTAGGGGGTTCTAGACTGTTTTGATGCAGTGTGTGCTACCTGCATGAGGAGGATCAGCCTGCTGTCTCCAGCCTTAGGTCTTTTACAGTTCTTGCAGCTGCAATGACCTTTCCATTACACCCACTATTTAAGGTATTCCTCTATGTGGATTGGAAGTACCATGAAGGATCATGGGCTCCACCTGAGAATGTGTTGGAAGTGTCCCCCTTTGATGAGGAATTTATTAAACAGTGGTCTTTACCCATTGTAGATCTACCAATGACCCACCTTAGTCCCTGTTCACACCTAGGCGTTTTGATGCTCAAAGCTAAGTGCAACATAGCTCAACACAAGAAATCCCATTCTTTTCAATGTCCCCTTTTAACAACTGCGAGTGTTGTCGCAAGCTGTAAAACGCCAAACGCTGTAAAAAGTACAACAGCTTTTTTTGTCAGATTACAGCGCGTTTGGCCACATAGACGTTAATAGAAATGCCTGGAAAAACGAATGCGCGCCTAACGCACCCAAAAATGTGCTAAACACACTGGGCGAGACGCTAAACAAAACGTGCACCAATATCCGCGAAAATGCTAATGCCTAGGTGTAAACAGAGCGTTAACAGGAAATTCACTAGACAAGTAGAGGGCGTGCTTACCTTTATGGATTCTACTAATAGGTAGTAGGAATCCCTTTTTAAAATGGGAAACCAGGAGAAAAAAATGTTTTTCTTTGAAATGCCACAAGTTAAATAAGTTACCTCTAATAATGATTATACTAGGTGCAGATGGCTTGATTGAAGCCAGATACTACTCACAGTGTGCTTCCAGCACTTTGACAGAGCTCTGACTATAGACAGTGCAGGCAAGTGTCATTCTGGCCGCAAGATGGCCGCGGCGGCTCTGATCACATCTGTCAGCGCCCCTCTCTCTCCTGCCGGCCGCTGCAGCTTCAGAGTGGCCAGGAGGAGAGAGAGGGAGCGCTGACAGATGTGATCAGAGCCGCCTCTCTGAGCAGAGGAGCAGCAGGTATGTTTCCCTCCCCCCCGGCACGGGTCGAGTAGACAGTGAGAGGAGAGCTGCACTCGCAGCCCTTCCTCTTAACTGTCACAGGAGCTCTAGCACAGTGCTGTGCTAGAACTCCTGTATTAATGGTGACAGGTTCAATAAAGAGAACCTGTCACCTCCAAATGCTATCACACAGGGGCTTGTTAGCTAGCTCCTGTGTGATAGCAATAAAATTAAAGGAGAACTATGGGGTCAGTGTTTTTCCCCATAGTTTTCCTTAGGGTAACGGGAGGACACAAACTAGCGTCCTCCCATTACCCCAAGCTCAGTATACCGCGAGCTACAGCTCGTGGTATACTGAGACGCCGGAGCGGATCCCGATGTAGATGACGGGATCCGCCCAGCTGCGTGAGTGACAGCTGGCTCTGCCTATCTAGAGGCAGAGCCAGCTGTACCCGCCACCTGAGACTCTCCACAGCCCACCTGAGACTCCCTACAGCCCACTTGAGATCCCCACAGCCCACCCGAAACCCTGAACAGCCCCCTTAAGAGCCCCACAGCCCACCTTAGACCCCGAACAGCCCACTTGAGACTCTACACAGCCCACCTGAGACTCCCCACAGGCCTCCTGAGACCGCCACAGCCCACCTAAGACTCTGCACAGCCATCCTGAGACCCTGAACAGCCCACTTGAGACTCCCCACAGCCAAATTGATACCCCCACAGCCTACCTGAGACTCTGCACAGCCCACCTGAGACCCTGAACAGCCCCCTAGAGACTCCGCACCTGAGACTCCCCACAGCCCACATGAGACTCCGCACAGCCCACCTGAGACTTCCCACAGCCCTCCTGAGACCCCCACAGCCCACTTGACACTCCACACAGCCATCCTGGGACTCTGCACAGCCCAACTTAGACCCCACACAGCTTTCCTAACGCTCCGCACAGCCCTCCTCAGACCCTGGAGACATCAGGCCGCCACCCTGGAGCAACACAGAGTATGTAGCTTCATATTATTCTGCATTGCTGTATAATATATTGCTGTGATTTGTAGTCCTTTAAAGATTGTGGTATTCTGCATTGCTGTATAATGTATTGCTGTGTTGCGGGCCTCCATGGTGGATCAGTGTATTCAGACCTCTCTTGTGTGCTCTCTTCCTTGGGTGCGGTAGCACCCCTCCTGATCCACTATGTAGGTGAAGCTTGAAATCACTTCATTCAAGTCTCTCCAACATGAAAGATTAAAAGGGGCAGTGCCAGGGAAATAGAAGCAAGCCCAGAAGCCACTCCTAAATGAACAAAGCAGCACTGGAGAATGAGCCCATTTGAAGCCTCACCTCTGTGGTGGATCAGGAGGGGAAAATCTAGACAGGGGAACAATTGGTCCAGAACATTGAACTATAGTTTGGTTTGTGGTGGGGCTGAGGAAAGACTTTACCTCGGGCGCCTCATGACGTTGCTATGCCTCTGTGTCCTGGTGACACCAGAACAAGGAAAGAGAGGGGGCCAATGTCACAGATGCTGAAAGCATTAAAGGAGAACTATGGGGTCAGGGCTTTTCCCCATAGTTCTCCCAAGGGTCACGGGAGGACACAAACTAGCGTCCCCCAAAGCTCAGTATACCGCGAGCTGTCTGAGACAGCCGCGGCCAGGACGGATCCCGACATTACTGTCAAGATCCACCCAGCTGCATGATTGACAGCTGGCTCTGCCTATCTAGAGGCAGAGCCAGCTGTATCCGCCCCCTCCCCCGTCCTCTCCGCCAGTCAGCGCTGGAGGATAGGACGGGAAGGGGGGAATCCCTGCAGGGAGCCATGAGTGACAGTCACGGCTCTCTGCAGGGACATGATCGAGAAGTGAGCGAGCGACGGTATGTGTTCGCTCACTTCCCGATCTCTTGAGCCGACGTGTGACAGTTTGTCACACGTCAGCTCGAACTATGAGGCTGAGTGATTTTCACTAACCTCATAGATCTCCTTTAAACACATGAAGGATAAACTTAATAAACCTTCCCGCTCTACCAAGGGCCCATTGACAGCAGATGTGTTGGCCTGTGCTGGGCCGCCTTGCTCATCGCAGTGACAAAGCAATTTTCATTGTGTCCTATGATGTCAGTTGCAGTGGTTTGCTCTGAAAAAAGCACAACATGCAGTTTTTTTCTTTTTTCATCAGTGTTTTCACACATTACACTACATCACAGCATGCTGCTGTGAATAGAAATTAATGAAATGTCAATTTGTGATATTCCAATTAAGTTAAAAAAGATAAAAAGGAGTTATATGCTGCAATTAGTGCATTGGACCGCTTCCTTCACAGTGCACATCAGTGACCGTGAGGTAACGTGCGCTGCTGGTGTGAACAGGCCGAAAGTATAGGTGTTTTGCTGCTGCCTCTATAGAGGGATATTCCATCACTTCCTGTCCCGATAAAACCCTGTAACCAGCACAGGAAATGAGGGTAAATCTCCTTAAAGGGGACACACAGCAATAAACCCTGACAGGGGGTTTTGGCTTTAAAACAATACAAACTATTAGAATTTATTTACAATGCACTGAGGAAAGATTTAATTGGATTAAAATCTATATGAAATATTTATTAACAGATTTTATTGTTTTCACCTGGAAGCCTGCAAACAGTGCAGTTGTAAACTACTACTACTCCCAATGTCCTCGTTATTGTCCCTGATATGAGTCCTCATATTATAACTGTGACTCTTTACAGCTGCTCATCATTATAAAGGAGAACGAAGCTCAGATCCCGCCGTGTGCCCTCAGCCAATCACAACCTCGCCTCCTCTTCTCACAGCTGATTGGCTGCTGCTATGTATGAAATGTGCGGCGGGAGATGATCAGCTGTCAGTGAACGGAGCGCAGGAAAAGCCAGACTGGACAGAGATGGGCTTGCAGGGGGAGACAAAGGTGAGACGAGCCGCTATACCGGGCAATGGCTGCAGCGTGTACCCGGCACAGGGATCCTTGCCTGCACAGAGCTAAAGGCGGCTTTATGGTCTGGTTGCATTAAATGTGATGAAGGGTGACTAGCTGCCATGTATCGAGTTGCAGGTTCATTTGTGTGTGTTCTGTGAAGTAATTCAGGTGTTCTGTTGAAGGATTGTTCTAGATGAGATCTGTGTGTCATCAGAGATGTAATGTATGGGTGCTGTTAGAGGGCGATACAATGTTATTATGCATTAGCCGTCCTCAACTTCAGTACATACTGTCTTCAGATTTGGTGATTTTAATCAATTGCCATCATTGGACTCAGGGTACAAGTATTACCTGTAAAGAACCAATAAAGTCCCAACAAACTGAATGCTGACACCTAGTGACTGATTATTGCACATAAGGTCTAATTACTGGGGGGGGCACAATATCTGGTGTATCCTAGTAGTATGCTTGTCACATATGGTACACTCTGATTCCGTGTTCTCCTTAGATCCCCAATAAGCATGTAGTGCAAGGGCCTGACTGGATAAACTCTGAATAGTTCTGGTCCTTCTATTAGTTTTTGGTAGATCTAATGTTGATTGTAATGTGTATGATGAGCCTAAAAGGAAGCTTCAAATCACAAAATCCTACTTTGGCCTAACCTTCCATAGCTGTGAAGGTTGGGAGGGTGGATAAGGAGACTGTGGGGTTTAGGGGTCCATTTATAGTGGGTTGGTGAGGTTCTGGGACTATTCTGCTGTCTTGTAGAACTGGACCCAGTTCATTTCTAGGGCAGTGGCACATTTTTAGTGTCTGTTAATGGGGTTTGGGCTTGTTTGCATCAGTTGGACATCAGCTCATTCAAAATGCAGACTGGTGCATATTGTCTGCAGTTGTCCTCACATGCATTTGACCTACCTCAGGCTGGCACTCTTGTATGGGAATGCAAAAGCCCATTGAGAAGTCTTTTCTTTTTACAGCCACCTAGGGCATGCAGCATTATTTAATTTCCTTTTACTGCCATTTTGATTTGTAAGTGAAGGAGCTGTTTGCCCCAGTTGCATTTTATGAACTTTATATAAAGACTATGCTTGGGTTGTACATTAATGAAGGATGTATGCATGCATAAGGGCTCTAGACAAAAAATGTTCTGGGCTGGCTCATGCACACAGCTGTGAATGTAGCCATACAGTGTAAAAACCACCTGTGAGTGTGTAAACTCGAGTATCGGTATTTGTGCATGTACACTGTCTTCTGTTCATACATTCCAATGGGCTCCCAGGTGCTGCAAATACAGGTAAAATGCACTGGCATGCATGAGCCCTAAATTAGGTTTAGTCTGGTTTGAGGGATGGTTCACACCACAGTCTGCATTCCAGAGCGTTCGGCCTCCGGCATGCAAGGCCGCCACCTCTCTGCGTTCAGGGGAAGGGGCGTGGTGGTGCATTGAAGTCAATGGCACTGCAGCTATGCCCCTGCCCACAGTGTAATCGCCTGCACCCAGGCACATTAGTGCCTGTGTTCTAGGCCACAGCGATCTGCAGAAATGGCGCTTGCAGCATTTTTGTAGATTGCACTGGACCAGAAAGCGGGCACTAATGTGCCTGTGTTCCGGGTGTGGGCAATCGCACTGGGGGCGTGGCTGCACTGCCATTGACTTCATAGAACGCAGACTTTGTGGTGTGAACCGGCCCTGACACTACCAGTATGAATGAGGTCTTGTTTGTAACAGCTAAAGGATAGCTTCCAGTTTTTGTTGTAGTATTGCATTCTCTTCCATGTGCCTGATTGCTTCATTCATGTCCTTGACAGATGTTTGAAATCAACAGTCTGGATACGTTATCAGCCGGCTCTCCTTTAGATGATGCCTATGTGGCTTTCTCCTTTGGTGCTCCCAAGGGTACAGGACTCTCCTCCTTGCGTTATAAAACTGAGCTGTGCACCAGATATGCAGAAAATGGCTTCTGCGCTTACCGAAATCGCTGCCAATTTGCTCATGGTCTAAGTGACCTCCGCCCACCATTCCAGCATCCAAAATACAAGACTGAACTGTGCCGTTCATTCCACCTCCTTGGAGTCTGCAGCTACGGCCCACGCTGCCTGTTTATACATGGCCACAGTGAAAGGAGGGAAGTGCCAGAAACCATTCGCCTTAGACAACGGCGTCCATCTCCCTTTCACAGCAAGAAGCAATGTCGCCTTTGGCATTCACCTGCAGGCTGTCCTTATGGGTCCACTTGCCTCTTTCAGCATCCACGGGCACTTTGGGATGTTTGTCGGCACTATGCTGCGCTGGGTGTCTGTCCTTATGGTATTCACTGTCTCTTTAAGCACAAGCCACCTCCAGACCGCTGGGGAGCGGGAAGCAATGCTGGAAGTGGATCCCTTTCACCATCAGAACCAGACAGTGATGTTTGCAACGATCTTCTCACTGACTCCACTGCTAACAATGCTTTTAATTTTTCTACCCTTCTTTTACCACTTGCCCTGCGCCTACAGATCCTGGGAGAAGACAACAAATCTGTACTGCATGATCAGATTGTGGCAGAGGATGAGAACACTCAGGAGCTGCATGCTCTACTTGACTGCTAAATATGTTTATATATTTTGGAACTTGGGGTGCTTGTTTTTAAATGGTTTGCTTTTTTTGCTCTTATGTAAATAAATGTTTATATTATTCCTTTATCTATTAATTTAATATGGCTAATTGACCTGGATCATGTGACTTGAGTTTTATTGGACGAGATGTGTTTAATCACTAATTAAAACTATGAATAATTTTTTTTACTAGACCCTTGTGTTTTTTTTGGTACCGCACCTTTTTTCTTTGCTGAAAAATGAAATGCACCGTTGTGATTCTTTGTATGCACTGTATACACCAGCCTACTTCTCAACTGTGCACCAGTCACCTATATTTCAGGTGCAATTAGGGATTCCTGTGTCACAAATGTGCATTTTCCTGCAGCAGGAATCCCTAAGCAGGTGTTTACATGCAGCAACTGTCACCCATTCAAGTTAATGACCAGGTGACAGCTGCTGCATGTACATGCCTGCGTACCACATGTAAACATATGTGATATGATTACATGCAGTTACAAAACAATCACTATCCCTGGATAAACAATTGTGTATCCAGTGATAGGATTACATAAAGTTAGGAATCATTCATGTAGGATTACATGCGGTGTGCAGGTGTTTACATGCAGCAGCTGTCACCCGATCCTTAATTTGAATTGGTGAGGTAAGGGAGGAGCCATGACACCATGAGTTAAATGGCACCAGGTGTCATGTGCTGTTCTTCCAGGGTGAATGAGTGGGTGAGTCTGTGGGGGGCAGTGCTGTTGATGGGTTAGTATAGTAGATGGCTGTGTCTGTTTTGGGTTAACAAATACAGTATAATGAGGGTGAAAGCCAGAATCTGGAAGCGCCAATCTATTTTCACCACCCCCCCCCCCCCCTCCACTCCCATACACTAAGAA